GCATGGGGCTGGTGCTTGGAGGACGCAGCTGTACATACAATGCATATGTATAAGTTTACACACCCCCTAGGCTAGACAAGGGACATGGCATAGCAAGAGACACGCAGCTCAGGGTGGCACTATGGCATGAGGTTTTAGCTAGGTAGGAAGAGAATAGTGAGAGAAAGAGGGGGAACTAGGAAAGAGAGAGGCGTACAAGATGTGGGGTTGTCCTCTCCATAGTAGGATCCAGAATTGTAGAAAACCTACCAAGCCTACACAAATATGTATATAATATATATAAGTTGACACACCCCCTAGGCTTGGTAGGCGCTAGCACAACACACACGCAACGCCCCCAAGCCCTTGCACCCCCATGCCCTGCAGCAGCTATGGCTTCTGCCCTTCGGCGTGCGGGACGGCGACGTAAGCGATGGGTGGCAGCAACGGCGTCAGTGGCGGCTACGATGACCACAGCGGCGGCGGCGGCGACTGCGAAGCCTGCGGCACCTGCAGCGGTGGTGGCGGCTTCAGCGACGGCCGCGGCGAAAGCGAAGCCCGCGGCAACCGGCGGCGTGGCTCGGCCCGGCGACTACGGGGAAGGAAGCCATCAGCTGCGACTGGGATGAGGGGAGACGAAGAGGAGGGGGCATGGCTTTAGTGAGGCACCCTGGTTGGCGCACTGGGTGGCGTGCGGGCGTGCTGGCTGGTGCTAAAAGAGTGCGGTGGCCGCTGCCGTCCGTGCGCTGGCATGTCGAAGTCGCGACGGCACCACGACGAAGCTGCCATGGCAGCACGTCGAGAGAATAGCGAGAGAGAAAAGAGGGGGAACTAGGAATGAGAAAGAGATACAAGAAGGCGGGGTTGTCCTCTCTACAGTAGGCTCCATAATTATAGAAAGCATAGCAAGCCTATACAAATATATATATATATATATATATATATATATATATATATTGATAGGCACTACTAGTCCAGCCTCTAAGGCACAGGTCCGAAGATCGGTCAACAAGAGTACAAACAAAACAAAACAAACCTAGGGCGTCACTACTAGTCCTGCCACTGAGACAAGAGCTACAAGGCCAGTCAATATAATAAGAGGAAAAGTACAAAATCAGGGTCCAAGTGAGGAGCTACTCGAACTAACCCAAGCTGTACACAGTGCCACTTATGATCTATACGCGCAAGCGCCTTCGTAAAGATATCATTTGTGTTGGCATCGGAGGCCAAGTGTACTACACGAGCCTGGCGGCGCTGCTGTAGCTCGCGTAGGAGGAAGTACCGCAGCTGGATGTGCTTCGCTCTGCCCTCTAGTCGAGGCTCCTGACACAGAAGGATCATGGCCATGTTGTTAGCATACATGACCGGGCAGAGCTAGGCCACTCACCTAAGTCTGTGAACAAGAAGGTCAGCTAGCAGAGCTCCTGTGCCGCCATGGCACCAGCTTAGATCTCAGCCTCACAGCTAGACTGTGCAACAGACGATGAGCGGGTGGACCTCCACGAGATAGCGTCCGCACCAAGGCTAAAGCAATAGCCCTGGGAGGACCTGAGCATCTCAGCGTCATCTGCACACAAAGCGTCTGTGTGCCTAGTGAGAACCACTGGCCTACGTCCTCTAAGCACTAACCCCATGCCTGATGTACTTGCTAGATAACGCAACACCCTCTTAGTGGCCGACCAGTGCTGGGGTCGGTGTCTGCCTGTCGACACAAGGTGAGCGATGATACTAAAAGGGTATGCGAGATCTGAATGAGTGCAAGTCATTGGGTAAATAAGGCAGCCCACAAGCTCTGCGTACTGACCATTGGGCTCAACTGGCTCGTCAGGGACTGGAGCTGATAGCATGTGATCCACAGGCAGAGGGATGGGCTGTACGGAAGAGAACTGAATGCCGAACCTCTGAAGGACCTAGAGCACCAAATGTGATTGTGTAAGAGTGATGGTGCACGCTGCTCTGTCCCTGGAGATCTGCAGCCTTAGGTATGGCACAACTCTCCTAGGTCAGTGCAGGTATGTCTTCTCAGCAGCTCGGCCTTCACCGAGGCCAGTGCGTCTCTGTCTGCAGTAGTGAAGACCAGGTCGTCTACGTAAACTAGGATGTAGAACGGAGTCTGGCCTGAACAAACGAAGAGTGACGGGTCAGCAGAGGATGGAAAGAACACAGGTCTGATAGCGCAGATTGCCCTGGAGAAATGCTGTGGAGAAGTCCAGTGAGTGAAGCTGGTAGTCGCGCTGTACTGCTACGTGAAGTAACGCCCGAAGAGTGGTCATTTTCGGGGTTAGGGGCGAAGGTCTGAAAGGAGTCAACACCCTCGTGCTATCTGATGCCTCTAGCAACGTAGTGCGCCTTGAACACCGACGGCTCTCCAGGAGGGCGCTTCACCTTGAAGAGCCACCGGCCAAACACTACATTTACCCCAGGTGGTGGAACTGCGTCGACATAGGTGCCGACGGATCTCCAAGATGCCATCTAAGCGTCCATGGCAGCTATCCACTGAGAAGCCCAGGGTCCCGAAGTCGCCTCAGCGTAGGTGCGAGGGGTCGGTATGTCAAGGGCATCTGGACCACCCTCACGGGCTAGGAGCATGGAGCAGAGATGAGGTGCGGCCTCCTACAGGAAAGGTAGCTCGTATTGCCTGTCCTCTAGGACGTCACTGCCAAGGGCATGTGCACCCCTGGCGAACAGAGGACGGGCAGGGTCAGAGACCAGAGCCATGGCGTAGTCAAGGCAGCAAGTAGAGGCAAAGTCAGCGACGGCAGTGACAAGAGCGTCGAGACTGAAGACAGGAACTGACAGGTCGGTAACAAGAGAGGCGAGGACACGAGGAACAAGAGGGCGAGCATTATGGAGGAAGGCAGAGAAAGGAGGCGGGGAGACAGCGAGGGACGACTGAGGAGGCAACGGGAAAAGAGTAGGGGGAGGAGCACGATGGAGAGCAGTGGAGATCGGTTGAGTGTAGTGGAGTGCGGTAGTGTGTAGTAGTGTGCGATAGCTGCGATAGAGGAGACTGCCAGCCAAGGCGCCGGCTTAGAGTGGAACCAGGGCTGGCGGCGTAGAAGGGTCGGCAAGGTAAGCTGGGGTGGCGCAGAGGGCTGGGGCCTGTGGTAGGCTGGGGGCCGGTGCGATGAGCTAGGATGGCGCGGTGAGACAGGGCCTGCGCGACGAGACGAGGCCAGCGCGACAGAACGGGGCCAGGGCGACGGACTAGGGCAGCGCAGCAAGCAGGGCCAGCGCGGTGGACTAGGGCAGCAGAGCAGAATAGGCCCAGCACAGCGGGCTACAGCGGCACGGCAGGATAGGGCCTGCATGGAAAGCGAGGGCAGTGCGGCGATTTGGGGCGGCGTGGCGAAACGGGGCCAGCGCGGTGGGCTAGGGCAGCGCGGCACGACGGGGCCAGCGCAGCCGGGTAGGGAAGAACGACCAGACTAGGGCGGCGTGGCGAACTAGGGCGGTACGCGCTACGGTAGGCTAGGGCGGAAGCGCGGGTGGGAGGACCTACCTAAGCTGATACCATCTTAGAGTAGCAAATTGAATTTGAAACAATGCAGTACATGTGGGATATAGGGTTGGGTTGTACCCTCTAAGAACGCAACCATGTCTAGCCTATAACTTCTATATACAATGCATATGTATAAGTTGACACTAGGTTAGCTGTATCCATGCTCCCTGCTATTTTGATGTTGCCTCGTTGTATTCTTTTCCTCACTACTCAATTATTCAACACATGCTCTTTGCGCTTCATTACACCTGGCTATCATAGCCAATGACCCTCAGCCTTGCGCTCTATTTCCTCTGCAATACCAACACTTAGGGAGGTTGATGTCATATGCTTACAGCGTATCCGTTGTCATGCAATAGAAGTTGATGGTGTAAGGCAGCAGTCGAAGAATTCTATCTCACTCACGAGTTGTATCTGCAGGAGTTGGCGCGTCTGCGAGATGAAACGGCCCAAGCCGAATCCAAGATATCTGCACTGCGGAGCCGATTGCCTCAGACAGAACACAACACGATTGCACCAACGACAAACCAAGGAAAAACATGAGAAATTAACCCAACAGCGTCCCGAAATACTTGGCGACAATCAGCGACCACGTGCGGCTTCGCCCGAGGGTTTGACGAACAATCCGTCGCAAGTTATTGGACGAGCAAAAGTTGGTATAGGGGGGGAACATCAACCTGCCGCCCCTAATTACCTCTCCAACCAGCCTGCAAACTGCAAGTATCAATATGGCGCCGGGAATTCTCAAGACGCATAGGCTGCCCACTTTCGACCCAAGCCAACGTGGCAGTTTGTCTATCAGCGGGTGGATTTTTCACCTGAACGTTTTTTATGACTGCAACCTCGTCGTCGACGATGCGCAAAAAATATGATACACCGTTTCACTCCTACGTAGACCAGCGATGGATTGGTGGCAGCAGATAATTTAGTCGTAGGAGCCGGATACGACTCCGCACATGATCGAGCGATTTTGCACAACCAATCACTGGGCAGGAAGTTATTGCGAGGTATAGGAGTACAGCACGTGGCAATCGTGGTGTGCAGGAATTCGTCGTCGCTTCGAACATATCAAAGCAAACAGTCAAGCGCGCTATCCGCCTTTGCACGTGACGCCACCTCGGATCGGTCCAGGACTACACCAGCAGCTTTAAGAATCTATGCGACCAGGTCAGGTATATTCACCCTGATGAGAAGTTCGACAGTTACATCGAGAGGATGTCCTGCATAAATATATTTAAAAGTGCGTACAGAAGAGAAAATCATACGGAGGGCAGAGAGGTGGGAGTTAGGGAGACCGACCTCACTGAATGCATGCACATCACTACCCCGTTGCAGGTAGGAGCTACATAAGGGAAGGGAAGATTAGTCGTCTGTAAAAGACGCGCAGTGAATGCCATCGAGATACAGAAGAGGCCACCAACAGGCGCTGGGCCAATGGGGGATTATGAGCATGAACCGAGAACTTGTAGAGAATAGATCGATAGTATGGGGCCCCAGTCGTCCGTCGATGAGGTGGAACCAAGGCGAATGGAGTGAGTATTCATCGGAGTGGATGACTTTGGACGGGTCGTCAGCCTCAATATTCAGTTCCTGAGGGATCCATTGTGCTGTCAGGCGGATAGAGTAGCTGACGCAGAGCCGAATGAGGGCTCGACAGATGAGGGTGATTTTGACGCAACATGAGCCACGCTTGCGAAGGATGTAGTAAACAGCTTGGCTATCACTTCGCACGAGGACGTGCTAGTTTGTGAGCGCAGGTGTGAACGACGTGAGTGCCCAAAGAATACCAGCCATCTCGCATGTCGGAAGTGGAGGACAACGGGCGAGGCATGGGTGCCGAAATGGGTAGTGAATGACTTTTTAGATCGTACCATACGGCGCCCCAGGATGTGTTGCTCGTGTCGACGTAGATGAATGCGTCGTGCGTGTAAGGGTTGTGGAAGTGAGAGATGTTAAAGGCATCGAACTGCGTCATCCAGACTTGGAGCTTGTCACACGAACTGGTGGAGGGGAGTGTTAAAATTATATAAGTTATAATTTATATAGGCTTGGTAGGTTGTTACTGAACCTTTTTTGTAGAGGGTACAAACCCCTCCTTGTACTCCTCTCTCTTCCTAATCCAGCCATCTTTCCTCTCTACATTTTCCTACTCTCCTAGCTAAACCCCACCGCCACAACCATGGCTGCCTTCTTTCACTTCCTCCTAGCCTAGTGCTACTTTAACAGGGAGAATCTTGTGACTCCAAGAAGGACAGTCGGCAATCTGGTATAAGAGGCTATGGGAGAATGCGCCGCAACTGTGCCGAGGGCAAGTGACATCGACGCACGCATCCCCATGATGCGTGCTATGTGGCGAATAGGAATGTGCCATGCGGAGGTGGCTTCGGAATGCATTTGTGTTATGTCGTGAAGGAGACATGCGCGACGAGCTGGGTCGACGGAAAAAGAGAGCTCTTGGGTATCAAGGAGGAGGCCAAGGAACTTGAGTCGTTGTACCGGCTCAAGCTGTGACTTGCTCGTTTTAAGGTGGAGGCCGGCATCCCGAAGGTCTCTTACGATGAGATCCCACGATTGAGGGCGGCTGCATGGCTTGAACTAATAAATAGGATGTCGTAAATGTATGGGAGGACTCGAAGACCCTGGGTTCGCCACCGTGTGGCGAGCTGTTTTGATGAGTTGCGTGAATATGAATGGCACCATCGCTAGGCCTAAAGGAAGCGAGAGAAATTGGTAGTCTATGCTGTGAAAGGAGAGGCCAAGGAAACGCCAGTACTTTGGATGGATATCGGCATGATGGTATCCGGATTTAAGATCAACGGTAATTAACCAATCATTTCGGTGGACTAGGTCAGTTATGTGGTTGAGTCCTTCGTAGCAAAATTCGGGGATGCGCACATAGGTGTTCACATGGCGTAGATCGAGAATTAAACGCTTTTTAGTCGGTTGCACAACCACGTTGAGCACGTTAATACGCGTAGACTTGGCCGCGGGCGAGACGACTCGTGTGACGCCAGTGGCTACAATTTCGGTGATCGCTTTGGCCGTAAAGTTGGGGTATTGAAAGGCCCTAGGGTGGCTGGATGTGCAACGAAAAGGGGGTTCTTGATTTGCCCAAGGTAGATAGTAACCTTGGGAAATTACCGATAGTATAAAACGACTATCACACCACGTGGCCCACCAGGGGGCGCGTGCCTGTAACCAGCCCCGCATACGTGTGTGCGTCACGAGGAATTTGGGTTGCGGGGGCTAAGGTTCCTGCATGGGTGGGAAAAGCCAAGATAAGGAATTTGTGTTTATAGGTCGATAGCTGCCCATTTCAGGAATTTGTGTTTATAGGTCGGTAGCTGCCCATTTTTTAACAAACTAACACATGCCTTGCTTTTCTCCGAATCCATTACATGTAAAGCATAAAAGGATAATGCATCAAAAGCCATTCAAGTGATGCATGCAAGTTGGTTTGCCCCTTGCTCATGGCACGGGCAATCAGCGATACCATGACCAGGCTCCTGGCAATGAAAGCAAAGCCCGTCGCCATCACGATTTCGGATTGCGCTCGCGTTACCCTTAGCACGATTGTTATGGCTAAAAGCGGGGCAAATGAAGGGGGGCGGTTGGGCCGACTCTATTTCATAGCCGCCACAATCTGGGAGGCGGCCTTGACCGTCTTGTCTTCGACGACCTCGCCATATATAATCTTAAGGGCCACATTGGCCACGTCGAAACCGCGCTGGTCAGCGGTGAATAAAAACTGAATATTTTAGGTAGAGGGCCGCTTGTTCACAATCGTTATTGGGCAATACACTTAAAGCATGGCTAACAATGATTTGGATGTGCTCGAAACTACACATTTGGGTGCGCACTCTGTCGCTTTTGACAACTAAGACGTGCCAGGGGGATTGGAACAAGTGCAGATGCAGAGTTGGAATGGGGTGCACGGAGGAGCTGGGGGCTGTTACCTTCGTGGTCTCCTTCAAATATTGCGGCTTTGCCATCGTCCTCGTCCGCTGCGGCTTTTGGTGCAGGGGGTGGGGCTGGCACAGGACGAGAATTTGGTGGAGGGATCGCGCGTCCGCTGGGGTGGCGCTAGCCGTCGGACGCTACGCACCAAATTTCATCGCGCGAATCTCGGCCTTGGACTAACGCGCGCGCCTCAGGAGCTGCTGCAATGCCGCCCGCAGCAACTTGCTGGCCGAAATTGGGGCCAGGGCGAAATCCTGGTGGCCCATCATTGTGGCCGGCGCGATTGCAAGCGGGGCCATCATGAAGCTCAGGGCGAGATCCCCCTGCTTCGTCATTTTTCCCCGCGCGAAATCTGGCAGCTGCGCCACTTGCAGAGCCGCGAGATCGCTGGCGAGATTCGTCGCGGAGGCGCTCGTCAATAGGATTGTCATGAGGGGGCCGAAGGACCTGTTGATTTTCGCGATTTGCGGGCCAACGTTTGTCAGTATTTGCGCGATTAGTGGCACCAATTAAATCCAGTGCCGTAACTGGAGCACGTGACGCATTTCTAGGCGAGCAGGAGCGATCTCTTCCAAACGTAGAAACACGATCATCGTCCCGTTGGGGTGACCCGCGTCAAGCGGTGTCACAAAACCAAGAGGTGGGCGTCCGTGAGCTGCGGAAATTAATCCGCTAGCCAGTTGACTTAAACGAACAGCAAAAACGTCCTTCAGAAGGGTTTAGGGTTGAGGAGAACATAAGAGGGAAGACTTGTGTCGATTCAAGAATTGAGATGGAGAAATGAAACTAGGTGGCAGGTTCGAGAACCTGCCAGCAGATACGGGGGGATGACTCCTGTAAAGCATTCCCCCTTTTTCGAATCTTGTTACAATCCTAGAATTAAGAAGTGGACTTCTAAACTATTCATATTACAGATTTGATGGAGCCGCAGTGGGTTGCAGAGCGGTTGGATTCGTTCTTCAAGCCAAGGGCGGGTTCCTATGACGGAAGTCTCACTTGGGGACTAATCAAGCGTGCCACTGTACACGCTATTACAACATCAAACTCAGCAGTTACAGCCTTCAAAGGTCGTTGTTTCGGGTGTAACAGGCCGGGACACCGCAAGTCAAAATGCCAAGAGGAGGGGAAGAAGCGGAATCAGGGGCAGGGGAGTTCCAGTCATCAGGGAAACGCTTAGTATCAGTAGTTAACGAGCGTAATACTGATGGAACCCACTCGTCTGTGACCGATGAACCTCATCGAGTACTGGTACCGATCCATGCAATCGACCAAACTCGGCTGAATAAGGAGGGTGCAACGGCGAATTACCCCATTTATTTAGAGGGTAGGGTTCAAGGGGAAAAAAATAGAATCATCTTGGACGAGGGAGCCAACCACATTTTGATCAACCTCGCCACGACAAAAAAAAATCCCTTAGATAGGTATCTACCAGAGACCGATGCTCGACTAGTCGACGGGACCCCATTAGCAATAAAAGACCGGGTGGAAAAGATTAGGGTATGCTGTGGAGCTGACTTCAATTTTTCGATGGGGATGCTGGCAACTACACTCAACGGATTAGACATGCTGCTGGGATGGGATTGGTTGCGATGCTTCAATCAGAAAATCGATTGGACGACCGGCAGGTGTTCCATAAAAATCAATGGTTGTGCGGTAGTGTTACCAAAATGGAAGAAGGGGATCACAGGAAGAGTGACGCAGGTGAACTCCGTGGTGATAAAACGAGCGGTTGCACGGGGAGCAGAAGTCTTTGTTGTAATCGTTCACGCCATCGACGTGGCATCGCAGCCATCCGATTGAGAGAAGCTGACAGCAGCAGTGCCGGCCGGCCTCGCGTAGCTGATTCGCAGATTTCCACATTTTTTTCTGGGTGACCTGCCCGAGGGATTACCACCGAAAAGGCCCTTTGACCATCGAATAGAATTAGAACCGAGAACACAGCCCACAGCTCAGTGGCAATTTCGACTTACACATCAGGAGTTAGAGGAATTACGAATGCAGTTAGATTACTTACTTGAGAAAAAAAAAATCCGTCCGAGTTCATCCCCTTTCGCCGCCCCAATATTGTTCACCTCGAAGAAGGACGGCGGGTACGGAATGTGTACTGATTACAAAACACTGAACAGGGTGACTATCAAGTCACGTTACCCCATCCCTCACGCCTAAACCCTGAAGTATCAACTTCGCAAGGCTCGCTTTTTCTCGAAAATATATTTACAAGGGGATTACCACCAGATTCGCGTAGTCGCAACTGATTGTCACAAACCCACATTTCGTACTTGGTACGAGAATTTCGAGTATGAACTTATGACATTCGGACTGACGAACGCCCCAGCGACTTTTCAAATGACCATGAACCAGATATTTAGTTCGCTCATATATAAGTGTGTTATAGTTTACCTAGATGACATCCTAATCTACAACGAGACTTGGGAGCAGCACTTATAGGATCTCAAAGCAGTTTTCACGCTACTGCAGGAGCATCGGCTGCTCACGAAGGGGTCTAAGTGCGAGTTCATAAAAGATCGGCAAGAACTCTTAGGTCACGTAATTTCCACTAAAGGAGTCGAATTCGACTCACGAAAGATCGAGACAGTGCAATCCTGGCAACCGCTGGTGAGTCACCAGCAACATCGCCATTGGAGCAGTGCTATTACAGGTTTTCGGCGAAGGGCTGCAACCAATCGTGTACGAGTCACGAAATTTATACCCACCGGAGCGAAATTATCCGATACACGACAAGGAGATGCTCGCGATCGTGCATGCCTTCAAGCTGTTGTAGTGCCATCTGACAGGGGCGGACGTGATAGTACGAGCAGACCATCGCGGCCTACAGTACATTCGCGCACAGCCACTCCTCAACCCACGACATATTCGGTGGTTGGATTTTTATGGAATCCAATTTCCACTTCAAAGTCATGTACAAGAAAGGGGCATCGAACATCGCAGACCCTCGTTCTCGTTCATCCGCCCATTTCAACTCCATCATCCTCGCACAAACTTCCCCACTCTTAACAGGCTTATTTACCCACGGGTACCAAAATGACAAATTCTTTACGTCGGGTGCGTACGAACAGCTCGCAACAGCTTAGGGAGTCTATTATGTTTAGACAGGGGCTGACTGCATCTGGGTACTGGAGTACAATTTATTGCGAGAGCTACTACTACAGGAACCCTACGAAAGTACATTTTTGGGGCACTTCGAAGTGGAGAAAACACGACAACAATTGACCAGATATTATTTTTGGCCTAACATTCAAGGGGACGTGCAGCAGCATGTGGTTTCGTGCAAGACATGCCAAATCATGAAATCATCAAAGTAGAAGCCATCTGGACAGCTGCGTGGCAGCAGGTGACGATGGACGTCGTTACGAGAATACCTGCCAAGGACGACTGTAATAACGCGATATTTGTCGTCGTCGATAAGCTGACGAAGATGGCTCACTTCGTCGCGTGCAAGAAAAGCATCTTAACCAAAGAAACAACCCATCTTTTCATCGTTCGCCTCCACGGAATTCCACCCGCCATCATTTCGGATCGTAACACAAAATTCACTAGCAACACAAGCAACTTCTGGCGCAACCTCTGGGAACAGTTTGGCACGCGCCTGCAATTCTCCTCGGCCTACCACCCCAAGACTGACGGACAGACCAAACGGACCAATCAGACAATGGAGAAGCTAATTCGTGCCACGTGCGATGACGTGCCCGACTAGGGGCAGCAACTTCCACTGATTGAGTTCGTGTATAATAATGCCCCGTCAGCCACTTCCCGGCAGTCACCATTCTACCTGAATTACAGACAGAACCCTACAGTACCAATCACGCCCAACATCGAAAATCCTCGAGCCCAACATTTTGCTGGAATGTTACAGAATGCCCAGGAGCGAGCAACCGAATTCATTAAGCGTGCGAATATCATTTCTAAGCGCAACGCCAATGTACACCAACGAGCAGTGACTTACCAGGCTGGAGACTTAGGGTGCATTTCTACGGGCCTTCCGTTACGGCAGTTTATAAAGTGACAAAAGGTTCCTACACATTGTGCCACTTGCCAGTTTGGCGTGCCGCTTTTGTGTGACTTATGTAGTGCTCGGATTGGGCTCCGCGATGTACGCTGGTTGAATGAACAAATGGGGTGAAATCTCGCGACAACTGTGAATTGCCGCTGGTCCCAAATGTTGGGAGCAACACAGCCGGGAGTTCAGCCTTATCCCGAGCCTGGGTAGACCCGTAACTTTGCCCAACCCAAGTGCCAACGCACGGAAAAAAAAAATCCCACCATTTTCTGAGGCACCGAACTGACCCTGTCAGAGTGTGCAATCTCTGTAGCAAATTCATCATTGGTAGCTGCTCCGTAAATTTATGGCCTAACAGTGCCTGTTTCAGGCCAAATTATTCTTTCAACACATGGGCTTTATATTTTTATAGCCTACTGCTAACACCCATTCATTTTTTAATGATTTTTTTACAATACCTTAATGTGCTACAGTATGTACGGGGGAATGTGGTTAAGGTCACAAACAAAAAACGCAATGTGATGAGAATTTTGACTAAACTGCCGAGCGGCTTGAGGAATCTACATCAAAACGACGAAAGCTAAACTGTCGTAGCTCGTAAGAATGTACCCTTAGTACTGCTCTATACTTAGAACCTTCGATTGCCCATCGTCCCAAAACTTCGCCCTCGTTACTGCGGACCGTTTACAATCAGCCATATGATATCCTCCATTATAGCCCATCTAGTGTTACCGGCCTGAGCCCATCATTTCACGTGCGACTGTTACGACTATACATTGCCAGTACGAGTAAACTTTCATGCCATTGGACCAACCCGTACATCCGACCGCTCGCCGAACCTACAGTCGAACCTGCGAAGATTCGAACTCATCGGATCAAGGACCCTTGAGGGGCTCGCCTGATCGAGTTTCTGATATCCTGGAAGGACCGGACGGCCCTGGAAAACTGTTGGGTGCCCCTGGCACAGATCGAGAATTACCCAGTGTCACGAGTCTACCTCCAAACACGCAATGTGTGCGACGTCGGCAGTCTTAGCTAAGAACATACCTTGGAGGGGGGAGGGTGTAAGGAAGTGGTATTTCCTTATCACGGGTTTTAGTTAGTAAGGCTACAGTGACGGAAACAATTGTCCGGATGTTTCGCTTTAATTAGGGTTTTGGGGTTTTCCGACCACTGTACATTATGTCTTGATGTTTAATGGCGGTACGCTTTGGGAGGGGCACATAGTGGATGCATTTACAGCACGAAAATCCGTAATAGTACATTAGATCGAACTTATACTCCAAGATATACTGAAAGAGAACATCCGGACGATTGTTTCCGAGGACAAAGAGCTAACTTCCTAACAGCGTTTCTAGTACCTATTCCACCGACCCTTGGCCTTGATCACCACTTGCACCCTTAGGCATGTTATCTACGAGGTTAGTGCAAACCTTGCAAGAGATCTCCTCTTACTCTTCCTGGACCCAGCCATTTGCATAAGGGGGTGAGCAATAGAAAAATCGTGAAGGAGTTGAGTGTATGCAAGAGTATTGTGCACGACTTCTGATTGAATGTTATCTATCAGACTAGCCATGCTGAGGTGTGGTCAAACATGCCATTAGCCGATTGAACCGATCTTATCATGGGTCGTCTTCGTCATACCGTTGTAGGGAAAAATCACGAACGGAGTGGCGAAAACTAGAGTATACGTCGCGAAACTTAGGGTAACATAGCACGGTCGATCATGCACCCTTGCACTATTAGAATCACGCTAGGATACGCAGGTCTCGTGACGGTGCAGCAGTCGAAGAATCCGCGACTATTTGGGAAGAATATCTAGGTTGAGGTCCGGTGAGGAAGAGGGTCACTCCAGCGCTACATACTCAGGCTCTCCAAGCCATTCCAAGCCCAAGCAGGACAAATGGCTTGGAATAACTTGGAGGGTGTGAATATGTTGCAACCAGTTAGATAACATGCCTAAGGGTGCATGTGGTGATCAAAGCCAAGGGTCAGTGGAATAGGTACTAGAAACGTTGCTTGGAAGTTTGCTTTTTGTCCTGGGAAACAATCGCCCGGATGTACTCTTTGAATATAACATGGAGTATTATGTTAGATCTAATGTACTATTATGGATTTTCGTGCTGTGAACGCATCCACTATGTGCCCCTCCCAAAGCGCACTACCATTAAACATCAAGACATAATGAACAGTGGTCGGAAAGCCCAAAAAACCTAATGAATGCAAAACATCCGGACAAATGTTTCCGTCACTGTATAACAGGATTGTCGCGCAGTTCTGCCACGAAATTCAAATCGCAATACCCAAATGTGGCCTCCTGACGAGCTGCATGCATTCTACCGGCCTTGCTGTTTCTGTCAACTTTTACATATTTGCATATGTATAGTTATAGACTAGAAGGGCTCGTGCTCTTAGAGAGTACAACACCCAACCATATGTTCCTCTGTATCCGTCATTTCTAGTCATTCTGCTATTCTAACATGGTATCATAGTAGGTTAGGTCCGCCCACCTGCTTCCGCCCCTCGCCCTAGCCTATCCCCCTGTTGTACCCTAGCCTTACCGTGCCCCGCCGGCCCCTAGCGCCCCGCCGGCCCCTAGCGCCCCGCCGGCCCCTAGCGTGCCCGCCGACCCTTAGCCCCCCCCCGGCCCTTAGCCCAGCGCCAGCCCCTCGCGTACCCAGCCAGCCCCTAGCGCGCCTTGCCGGCCCTTTGCGCCCCGCCGGCTCATTGCGCCTTGCCAGCCTGCTGCACGCCTCGGGCCCTGTGCGCCCTGCTCGGCCTTCCGCCCGGTCTTCCCACCGGAGAGTCCTGCGGCCACGCCGCCGTGCCACTGATTACGTGTGCCACGGTGCCGCCGTATCGCTGCTGTGCCACCGTGCCGCTGTGCCACTTTGTCGCTGTGCCGCCGTGGAGCTGTGACGCTGAAGTTGCACGATGGCGGACACCGTACTCCACCTGGACGCGGAGGGGCACGCTATCAACTTCGCCGCCTGGCTTGTCGATCTTCGCCGTCACCTGACAGGTCAGCGCCAGGATGGGCAATCCCTATGTATGTTGATGGCTTGCTTCCCCGCCCCCCCTCGCCTTATCCCCTCCCTGCTGACCCCACCACTGCTGAGCGTGAGGCCTTTTCTGCTGCTGCGCTCGCTCGCGCTATCTAAGATTCCAGCAATGCTATAGCGCAACTCACCATTCATCATGATGTTCCCCTGTCTGAGCGTCCGCGCTTCATTGTTGTCATGAACGCCAAGGATTTCCTAGATACAGTAGTTTCGCGCTACTTCACACCCACCTCCGCCTCTGCTGACCGCTTGATCTTCCCCATGCTATTCCCCGATCTTTCCGCATTCCCCATTGTCACTAACCTCGCCACTCACCTTCGTGCACTAGAGACTAGCTACCGCGCTGCTAGCACTGCCGCCCAGTTGACAGCCTTCCCCCCACCGTTCAGCGCTACCCTGTACCATATTTTTCATGTGCCTGCCTGACCACTTAGCCACTGCCCGCATCCACTTCCTTAGCCAGCAGTCAGGAGACCTCACCCTGCCCTATCACTGCCCTGAGATAGAGACTCGCCAGCGCACTATCGCTCAGTCGAGCGGTTTTGCGGCAGTCCCTTTCTTTCAGGGCTATGCTCCCTCCCCGTGCACATACGCTGACGTTTCCGCCGCGGTCGCTACGGCTACCCCTGCCACTGAGACCGCAGCTGCGGTGTTCCCTCAGCAGTGACAGCGTCAGGGCCGTCGTGGCCCCAAGGAAGGGCGTGATGGTGCTGCTGGTGGTGGTAGTGGTGGTGGCGGGGACAGTGGTTTGGACGAGGGGGTTGGGGCTGATGTACAGGAGCAGCAGCAGCAGCAGTCACAGCAGCAACAACAGTAGCCGTGGGCCCGCCTCCCGCCGGGGTGGCCAGGATCCTCTTGGAGGTGGTGGCCATGGTGGCGGTCCTCGCAGCTCGGCGTCTACCGGCAGCTTCAGTGTAGTAAGCTGCCATTACCAGCTCAAGACCGGCCCTCTCCGTGGCATTTGGTGCCGCCGCCCGCACCCGACCGCCCGCTGCTTCCGCCGCCTTGACGACCTCTTCCGTCGCCGCTTCGGCCCAGCCCCAGACCTCCGTGACTGGCCCAGTTTGCTGCATAACGGTATGCCTGTTCTTGAGTTAGACATGGATCAGATTAGTTATTCCAAGCATTCTCTATATGTTGACGCTTCTAGTGTGTCCGGATCATATTACTCTGTGTTCTCTAGCTTAGGCGTAGCACCTGTGTATAGTCCAGACTCCCTTGCTGCGTCAGGTGTAGGATCGTTTGCCCTGTCCACACTCTCTCCTCCTTCGACCGCCACTACTGCTTCGCTGTCATTTACACTTGACTCTGGTGCGTCTGCCTACTTCTTTCGCGACCATGCCACACTTATGCCGCTTGCCGCGCCTGCCGTTGTCGCACTTGCTGACCCCTCCTATGGTCTTGTCATTGCTCGTAGCTACACTACCCTTCCGTATCCAGCCGTCCCCTCGGATTCCCTTACAGGCCTGCACATCCCTTCGTTCTCCAGGAACTTAGTTAGTGTCGGCTGTCTTCTGGACCTCGGCGTCACCACTATGTTCCCTGGTCACGAGCGGTACGCTGTCTAAACCGAGGCCGCCTCAGGTGCCCCCCTTGCGACGTTCCCCCGGGACCCGGTGTCTGGCCTGTTTATGCTGGACACTACTTCCCCCCCGGTGGGCGCA